CTTCAGCGTGCCGGCATTGCTCGCAATGGCCAAGATCCTTGCCCACTCGCCTGTTCTGCCTATATGCCAGTGTTGCGTGTGGGCGGTCTGCCTTGAGCCTGCGCCTGGGCCCCAGTACCTGTACTCAGGCCCAATGCAGATGGGGCCCAGGTAATACAGTTGCGCCCCTTATGCTAGGGCCGCTGTCCAGATTCAGGTCCTGTACTGGTTTCCCATTGGGTTTCCTCGGCCTCGGCGACGAAATACTGCTTTTCTGAGGCCAGGGACCAATGTGTGATGTGTCGGCCTCCCAGACTATCGCCCAGGGCTCAACCAACCGAGGCCCTGGGCTCAACTGCTTGTGCAGAAGTCTGAGGCTCACGATGCACTCCAACCAACTGGCGTGCGGCAACTGTCTGCTACCCACTTCGTGAAATGCTGAATGAAGGTCCCCTATGGATATTCTGGCCCACCTTCACTTAGGGCGGGCACGAGGCTTGCTGGGGGCCTAAGCCCAGAACATATGCATGTCGGCAAGGCCCCCCCCTTTGAGGGCTCAATCCTCACATTCCATCCCCCTTAGCTTCGAAAGTCTGCTGAGATGCTTACTTCGCAGGTGCCTTCCCTTTTAACATCCTCTCATATTCTGCCACCACTTGAGGAGCTGTGTCAATCAGTTCCTCTCTGGTGAACCACCGATCTTCTTGTGGATCCGTATGATGCCTGAATCTGACGCGATATTCTCTCTTGGGTTTGGGAGGTCTTCCTGTACCCAGTGGCTTTGGAACAGGCAGGTCTCTATGATCCACAATGTCTTCGATGTCCACTTGGCCATCCATGGTTGGGGGCAGCATCGACCTCCTTGAAGGGAATTGATCTGTCTCAGCGAAAGGTGCAAGCTTTGAGGCATGAAAGACAGGGTGAGTGCGCAAGTGACTAGGGATGCGGGTAACATAGGTAGGACCATCCATCTCATCCCCAACTATGTCCAGGACTTCCCAGGGACCAAAATATTGAGGCATTAGTTTTCGAGAGATACCGAATTCTTGTCCTATCTCACTAGCCTTGACCTAGACACGTTCCCCTACCTGAAATGAGGACTGTCGACGATGTTTGTTCTCAGAAGCAATCATTGCTTGCTGAGCTTTCCTGATGTGCTCGACAGCTTGCTGTAGCAACTTCTCATACTGCACACCATACTCAAGTGTGCCTGAAGTTGCAGAGGGTCGGTTTTCAAGTAGGAGGAAGTCCAGAGCTGATCTAGGCTTCCATCCCAAGTGTAGCTGATTAGGACTAACGTCGGTACTGCTGTGTACAGCGTTGTTGTACAGGCTAGCGATGAGAGGCAACTTCTCATCCCAGTCATCCTGGCTGGGCTTGATGTAATGCCTCAGCAGGTGTTGTACAACTCTGTTCATCTGCTCGGCCTGTCCGTTGGCTTCGGGATGATTCCCTGAAGTCATTTGAAGTTAACTGCCCATCTGCTCAGCAGTCTTCTTCCACAGCTCATTTGTGAAGCGGACATCTCTGCCACTAACGATTGACTTTGGTAGTCCAAAATCACGCACCCAGTTGTCCATAAACAACTTGATGACGTGTTCAGTCCTTGCAGTCTCTGGCATGGCAATTAGTCTAGCGTACTTGGTGAATCGGTCTATGATGACAAAGATGTGCCTCTTGCCACTCCTACTGGTCACCAGGGTCTCGGACCAGCGGAGATAGGTAAGGGCTTCAACAACCCAAGCGGTGCTTGAGTTCGCGGCTTGTCCCGCTTATAGACCTGACAGGTCTCCACATACTTCTTTGCATTTTCTAGCATTCCGGGCCACCAAAATCGTTGTACTAGATTGGCACTCGTCTTTTTGTAGCCAAAGTGTCCGGTTGCGTCATGACATTCTCCTAAGAATAAACTACGCAAACGTTCACTAGATGGGACAACTAACCTTTTAAATCCGGCCTTATCAAGAAAGAGAAGCCCGTCCTCCATCACAAACTCATCTTCTGTGACCTTGTCTTTTGCCTAAAGTTTGCGTATGATGTCCATCGTGACAGGGTCTTCCTGATAGGCTCCCACCAGCGATTGAGTTAGTTCCTCAGATACACCAAACTCAGAAACTAGCGCCCCTAGGTAGTCTGCCCTACGTGATAGCGCATCTGCAACCTTGTTGTACTCTCCCTTCAGATACTCTAGCTTGAAGTCATACTGATCTATGACCTCAATCCAGCGCTTGAGTGCATCAGAAAGAGCCGGTTGAGTCTTGATCCATTTAAGGGTCTGATGGTCAGTTCTCAAATAGAAAAACCGTCCCAACAGAAATTGCCTCCAATGGACAAGTGCTTTGTAGAGAGCATAAAGTTCCCTTTCATAGATGGACTTTGCCAGTTTCTTTGATGGCATATTTTTGCTCATATACTCAATCGGTCTCAACTTTTTTCCATCCTGCTGAGCCAGCACTGCGCCAATGCCGTATTGGCTTGCGTCAGTGGTTACAATGAAAGGCTTCTGAGGATCGGGCACCATGAGAACCTCATGATTCATGAGTGCATGCCTCAATCGTTTGAAAGCAGCCTCGCACTCATCACTCCAGTCCCACGGCGTGTCAAGTCGAGTTAGATCAGTCAAAGGAGAGGCGACTGTGGAATAGTTCTTTACGAAGTTTCTATAGTAGTCGCACATTTCCAAGAAAGATCTGATCTCAGTAACAGTCTGAGGTCGTGGCGAGTCCCTGATACTAGCCACCTTCGCATCTTCCGGCCTAATCCCTTCCGTGGATACTTCATGACCCAAGTACAAGATCCTAGTGCGTCCAAACTCACATTTCTCTAGGTTGACCTTATACTTGTGTTGTCGCAGGAGTGAAAGTACAGTCTCAACGTGTTGTGCATGCTCCTCGCCTCGACAGACTTACTAAAGATAAGAATATCGTCAAGGTACACGATGACAAACTTGTCTAAATAGTCATGGAAGATCCTATTCATGGCATGCTGGAATGTACCCGGCGCATTGCAAAGGCCAAACGGCATCACTACAAACTCATACAGACCATATCGGGTCTGAAAAGCAGTCTTGTGCTGATCCTCGGGTCTTATTGCAATCTGATGGTAGCCGAATTTTAAGTCTATCTTGCTATAGTATTTACATCCCTGCACCCTATCCAATAGGTCGTCTATGCGAGGTAGAGGCTCTGCGTTCTTCACTGTGATGGCATTGAGGCCTCTGTAATCAATGCACATCCTCAATGTACCCCCCTTCTTCGGTACAAATAGCACTGGAGATCCGAAGGGGGAAGTACTTGGCCGAATCCATCCCTTTTCTGTCAGCTCTTTCAGTTGTTGCCGAAGTTCGTCCAACTCGGTCGGAGCCATCCTATAGATCCTTCCCTTCGGGGTTTTACTCCCTGGAATGATTTCTATGGCGTGGACAACCTCCCTTTCTACGACTCCTGTAGGCCCTGTGAACAGATCAGGGAACTTAGCAACGACGTGTTCTATCTCTGGGGGTGTTTTAACGGCCTTCCCTTTTTCAGAGACATACACTAGGTACATACCCTCCTCTTGGTTCTGTTTGTAATAATTGTAGAACGCTGATGCGCACAAGCAGCCATAGGATTCTATTAAGCTACTGGCCTTGTACTTAGCCAGTCTTACAGTTCTTCCATCCTGCAACTTATGCTTTAGCACCTTCTTGTCCCAGTCAAACTGGGGCTTGGCAACCTCAAGGTAGTACATTCCTAACAACATATCAAACGGTAAGTCATCGCTAACCAGGAACGAAATCTTGTGATTAAGTTTCCCTCCTCCATAGGAGAAGGTACAGACTACATCCTTGATATAGTCTGTGACAACCATGCGCTCCTTATTGGCCAAAGTAGATGCTACCGGTCTACTAAGGTGTTGTACCCGGTCCTTTAGGTGCAGCCTTTCCAAGCAGTCGCGGCTTATGTAATTCCGCGTGGAGCCGATGTCCACGAAGACACCACATTTGCGGCCCCCTACAGCAACTTCCACAACGAAATGTTCCCCTTTAGGACCTGTACTTAGTGCCACCCAAGATTCGCGAGGATCCTTGCTTGACCACTCGCTTTCCAAATCTTTTAAGGCTTCAGACACATCCAACGTACAGAGCATAGTTTGGTCTGGATGAGTCTGCAGGGTGACTAAAGAGTCGTTAGCTATGGCCTTCTCATGAAGTGGGGAGGGTATCTGACCCACTTCACCATGAGTAGAAGCAGCTAAAACTTCCACCGGCCTTACATGTTTCTCGAGCTAGAAGCCTGGGAAGAAGGTACCCCTCCCTTAGGGGGTATCTTCTGCGTGACCTTTGCGTTATTGCACTTGTACTGTGTGTGTCCGTATTCACCACAGTTAATGCAAGCACCACGCACTCGGCGGTCCCGCCACACTTCTTGATCAAGACCTGCCTTGACCCAATCAGCAACTTTGGCCTGATTGGAGGCGGCCTGCCCTTGACTCTTTTGATGGCCCTTCCCTCGGCCACCTGCCTTAGTCTTTACTACTGCGGCGAGGGTGCTACCCTCARCGGTTTCCTCRCCGTYGTRCTCTGTACTGTCCAWCAGGTCTGAAAGCTCCTCGATCTCGGTTTGGGTCCCATCAGACTCAACCATCATCAATCGACTCCCCTTCTTCTTCCACTCCTGTGGACTCTTCTTCTTCCTCCCGTCTACTGGAGTAGGTTGAGCACTTCCTAGAGTAGCCTCTAAGTCTAAGGCTTTTCTAGAGAAGGTCTCAAACAAATGATACTCGAGGCGAGCCTCGCGGGCCAGTAAGGTCCTGAGATTCTTGGGCAGACATCTCACGAACATGGTCAATAAGACCTGGTCATCGTAGCGTATGCCGGGAACGACGATAAGGCTCTCTACGGTAGATGTTAACTCTCTGACTGACTTGTACTTTCGTTGGTCTAGTCTGAGCATCGCATCAGTGGCAATTTGTGCCTGCTGTGGATTATGCCAGCGAGCTTCTACCATGTCTAAGAACTCTTCTAACGTAAGGGTCTTAGCCCAGTCTGCCATACGTCGTCCGAACCTGCCCTTTGCTACTATTCCATCTAGCCATTTGGCTGCCTTACCCTCAAGGTAAGATGAAGTAGTGATCACCTCCTCCTCCTGCAAAGTCCTCTTTGCCCTTACCCACATTGGAACTGTTCTCAACCATGTGTCGAGTTCCTCGTCCTTCTTCTCTCCGGAGAAGGCAAGGGGCGGTTTCATAGGGGTCTTTGGGTAAGGCAAGGGGCGGTTGTCCCTGTTGAGGAACATGTTGTTGCGGTGATGGTGTAGCTATCACCGCTGACCCAGAAGAAGAAGAAAAAACAGTCTGTGCGGCTGCTGCAGACGTACCACTTGGTTGTGTGCCAGCTTGTACCGGAAAGGGGCCTGACATCGTCGTTAACGACAACAGCGACTGTGTTGCTGGCCGTAATCCTGGCCTTTGCAAAAGGTCCAAGATCTGGTCCAAAGAGTTCTGGATGAAGTGCAGTCTGCTGTCCACATGCGCATGCAGCAACAGTACACTGTTCTTCAACACTTTCATTTGGTCAGACATGGCTGACTCATCCAAACCCTCTAATGCAGCTTTGTCTGCCTCTAACGTATCAAGCCTGGCTGCTCTATTTTTGATCTTTTTTTCTCTGTCGGTAGCTTGCTTCAGTTCCCTCTCTAACCGAGCGCGGATCCTTTCGACTTGTTGGAGCTCTAGGAGCTCCCTGCCGCATGGGGTCAACGGGCTTAACTGCGAGCCCGCCATTTGACTTGTGGACTGACTAGAACTTACTGCCCCGGAAGTACCCGTGCGCCCAGGGGGCATTCCCAACTGGGTCCCAGACGAGGAGCAGAGGCTGCGCCGTTAGCCATTGCTGCTGCTCTGGCTGCTGCTGCATGTTCTCTAGCTGCTGCGTTTGTTGCTGCCAACACCCGACTTGCAGCTAGTGCTGTTTCCCTGGCTGCTGTGAGAGCACGGGCTCTATTTTCAGCACGAAGCTGTCTTTCGTCTCCCGGTTGTAAGGTCTGAAACACGTGCGGGACCCTAAGTGATCTCGAACGTGTCAGTCTTACATCATCAACTCCACCCTCATCGGTGTCTGACCCGCTCATAAGTTAGGCAAACACTATCTGCACTACAACTCCCTGCTGGAGTCCTACCATAGCATGTCTCTGACCGGCACCTAATTTTCTAAAAATAAATGTGTCCGGCAGGTCCCCTACTCAACCGATCAAGTGGCAGCCTACAACATTCACAAAAGACCGTAAACATAGTTTAGTTCTATCATGATTAGTTCACTTACAAAAGCTTTGCATAGAACTGGCTATGGTAGTATACAACAGTCCTAAACTAAACTGTCTGTGAGGTGTTAGCAGTCTGTCAACCAACTAATCAACAATGAAACCAGACTATGTTGCAGATGTATGAACAACGGATATGGTTGTGTTTACAGATGAGCACCAAATTGGAACCTACCCTCTCCTCAATCCAACATACCAACGAGCATCATTGAGCGGCAGTGTCATAGGTGTGCAATGCCGGCCCACCCCTGTGCCCCAGGTGCATGCTTATGACCAGGCTTGCCCTTTCTTTATCCTCGCGTGCAACGAGCCGTACATCCGAATGATCTGGCTGATCAAGAGGCCTATTTAAGGACTGCCCCCAAGGTCGCTCAGGAATTATTTAACGTCGCAATCAGGACGACGATCACAGCCAGTATCAGATCGGAACCGCATCCTGAAATGTTTATAGACGGTCTGGGAGCGTCTACATAAGCCTGTTCAGTCCGCACACCCCTCTATCAGCGCAGCAAAGTGCCCTCATGGACGAAGCAGCCATCGCATGCGTGTACTATTCCCATTGGGTTGGCATGGTGACCGTGACCCATGTGCTTCGACCAGGGCCCTTCAGAGGCACCGCCCTTTCTCCTTCCAGATGCTTCACCGGGAAGATTGTCGTCTCTCAAGGTAGAGCGCACACGACACCTCACCAAAAGAGAGGACTCTCAAGTTGGACTCACTTCCTCGCGGTAAGAAAAGATTGAGAGAGTAGATAAGGTAAGGGTACAACGTACCTTGAGATAGCTGCCCCCAACCACAGATTTCTCACCAATTGAGCTGAGTGTGCATTTGATGACCGGTTGTAGCCTCAGTACCACCCACAATGCAACGCAGTGCCACCTCAGCCAAATGCCACATCAGCATGCTCTCATCACTAATCATACATTCCGCTGTCACCACGGCATCCCAAGCCGTACAGCCTTCCGGCGCACACCTCTCTACCAAGGTCGTGCGCCTAATGTTGGCCTGACGTCACAAGAACCAACTGCGAAGAAGCATCGTCAACGCACCAAGTCTGTATAACGCCAGCGCACCAAGGTAAGTGGCGAATCGAACCAGCTCTGATACCAAAATGCAAGGAACATGAATGTGGACGAAGCATAGAAATCTAAATTGCAAAATCACACTGAAGTCCAAGTAGTCAAAGCAAGAGCAGATAGGACAATGGAACCAAGTAACCATCCATTTGAGAACGATACAGCAGAACCGTGAGTCAATGTCCAAGCCCAAATCGGGCAGCACCAACAGCATAACCCAATGTAGCTCTCTCTCTTGAATGGCGCCAGGCGCCCTATCTACTCCACAGCCTATCACTACGACTACAGCATGGAAGCAACCAGACAACTTGACGACCAGCGAGTGATGACGTCAACACCAATGTCGACCTCCTCTCCACGAGGTACGTCTCTCTCTTCACCCTCACTCTCCCTTGTTATCCCACACAGCGCCCTTCACCTTCCGAAGAACCACCTTCGCCCTTCACCTCTTCTGC